ATTAAAATTGTCTGTTGCGAGAGCAGTAGATGAGACATTTCCTGCATTTGTAAACTAAGCATCTCTTTCTCCCCCAGGTTTCCTTGCATCTCACTGTTTATGTTGGTGGGATCTGAACTCCAACTGAACCTTCTCAGAAGGAGGTTTACTGTTGGCCAAGTAGGGAGAATGAGCTCTGCAGCCTGCCACCCTGCTCCTTGACCTTCTGCTCTTGGGTTTGGATGCTTTTCTTTTGTTTTAAAAAGCCGATGCCCTCAGGAAATACAATACTGTAAACTGGAACTTCAGACATAAGTTTTCACTTTTAACTTTGTCATTAAAAGAAAGTCTTAGATAAAGATGATTTCCCTTAGGCATACCAGCCTGCTTCAGTCCTAATTTGGGCAGATATCATGTATTTCTTCTATTAATAGATCTTATTTATTTCCTTCAAGTTTATTGTTAATGTTTGATGACCATTTTATACTACCAGTTGTATCCTGCACACAGGATTTTATCTTGTTCTTTATTTAGACTCCATATTCTCTATATCTATGTAGTTTTGAGATTTGTGTCATGTTGGTTATTGTACAATACGAATTAATTGCATAGCCTTTCTAAAAGTGATGTATTGGCAGTTTTATACTACCTGAAAACTTACTTCTTGTCTTAAGAATGACTTGTGTTCTGAGCCTACCAGGCAGATTTGAGGTGATTTGGGGCCCTTCTATAGCCATGGGTGGCCTGTTAATATGTCTAAAGTTACCTTGCTAAGCTAGGTGGTATAGTCTGGTCTTGTGTGAATGTGCAAAATTTTGCTGCAGAAGAACTTTAACAAAAGATTTATTTTTAGATTAAATGTAATTCGAAACTACACTATAGCCAGAGTTTAGGTAGAAAACAGATGTGGTGCAGTTTTACTAAGATACAAAAATCCAGTTCTTTTGAGCTGGGAGGATAGTGAGAAAATGGAGCAGTGGGGTTGGTGGCAGCCTGGGTCTCAGGGCAACTGCTGCTGTCAGCTGCCCAGGGCTGCACCCTTTCTATGAAATACAAATGGTTGGTTTGACCATTTTCAGCCAGTTTTGTCTCTCCCTCTTTTTCTAGCCAGAAACAGATACTTTCATGTCTCTGTCCGGAAGTGCTACTATTGCTTTTTCTCTCAGATGTTTTGTAGGTTTCATGAAATGACCACTTTCAAAAAATAAAGAAGAAAACCCAGGGAATTTGTCAGACTCTATAAGATCGATAAGACCATGACTGATTCCAGGAAATTTTTTTGCTGGGGCTAATATATGTCCATGCTGACTGTTGAACTGAGAAGACTGTGTGTTCATAAAGTAGAAAATGTTACTGGTATGTAGTCTGTCACTCTTCGTACTGTCACAGGTACATGTTTACCTAACTTGAGACCTGCCAGTTAATGAATATGAGACTCTCAAGCATTTGGGTTGCACTTGTTTGCAGAGGGCTATTATTTAATAGAATCCCTCTCTTCTGCTGCAGTCCTAATTTGAAGAACATGCTTTTTGCAGCACTAAGAAGAATTACTTAATTCAAATTACCCCAATGTAAATAAATTTTAAAACTTCCATTGTTCTTAGCTGTCTTGGCTTTTGTTTTTACCACACCATTTTGCATTCTATTCCTATGTCCTAAGTGAAAACTGCAATTCTGTCACTGTAAATCTGTTCCACTGTCAGCTGAATTTGAGTCACGTTTTGGTAGTCAATGTCATTAATTCTGCTTCTATTGAGAAACTGACAGTCAGTCTTTAAAATATGAACGAGAGAATGAGAATTTTTTTATGTGTTGGATCAGGATCATTGTATTTTGATAGTAGCTTGTGCATTTTTGGTTTGCTATCATTTTGCTAGTTTGGCAGGAGATGATCTGTTTAAATTTACTATGCTTATAATGAAATGCTGAAGCATGAAAGGAATTTGTCCATTTGTAGCGATTGTTACGTGACTAAAGTTCTAATGTCATTCTCAGAGAGCTCAGTTATAATGTCAGTGTTATGATTCATGTTTCCTTGATCAGTTAAGCCTTTTAATATATTTGGCTTTGTGTTTACTGACTTGAGCATGTGATAATCAGTGATATGTGTGAGCACTATACGCCTTCAAATCAAAACAGGCAGTGGTGTGCAGGATGGAGGCTCCGACACTGGACTTTTCATTGTGGCATTTCTGAAATCCCTCAGCACACTTTTGACCAGCTCAGGAGAGGAAATCTTTTTAGACACTTTTACGCTTAAATTAAAACAAACAAACAAACAAGACACCCCACACCGCAGTAAAGAAGCAAACAAACTAAATCTAGAAAACCCACAAACAAATGAAACCAGAAAGCAAGCTGTATTTGTAGTTACAGACTCTAAACTTCATCCTCTGTATTTTCACAGAAGTTTATCTTGTGGGATTATTAAAATGTGGAAGTGTGTCACTGTCAGGTGCCTCACAAGGCTGGACCATTGTTTTCTGTCACAGGAGAGAGCTTGCCTTGAAACATTTGGACACCTTTCTAAATCTGTACTTGAAGACCTCTTCTGAAGGCCTGATACCTCTAGTACCTATAACAATCCTCTTATCCAGCTTCAAGATACTTTCTGCTGGTCTGGTCAGCAGAAAAGAAAGCTGTTGGTTGCCATCTTTCTGTAAGGACTTGTTACCTTGGAGTATAACTGTGTTCTTGACAATGTTGTGCTGTGCCACTAAGCACATCAAAGTATGAGATTATACTTGTTGTTCAAAAAATTGTTCCTTGTCATTGAAAATCTGTGATTCAGTCAACAGAAATATGAGATGAGATTGTGTTCCAAACATCAGTATTTTTCTTTACTGTGAAATCTGTTTGACAAGAAGTGGAAATAGAGGACGAGCATAGATGTAACCTTACTGCAGCAAGTACAACAGTACACAAGCAAGTACACAAGCGGAGAAACAGAGAAATAAAGTAGCTTATGCAAACTTGTGTAGACTGCAAGGGAGGCTTTAGATAACACAACAGTTCTGAGGCATGAGTAGCATGTTCTCTGTCATGCTCTGTGCTGCAGCCAGTGTCTGGAAGAAAAGATTCTAGTTAATTCATAACCCAAAATCAGCTCACTGCTTGACTATTTTCAACCTTCCGAAAAGAAGAGCCTTTGAAAGACTAGTTTTCTCAGTGGTTAGCTACAGAGGTTAGCTTTGTTGGGAGCATTTTTAAGAGGTTTATCTGCTTCCAGCATCTTTTGCTACCATGACACTAGGTTTTTCAAGATGAATTCAACATATGAAGGCTGTGTGTCAGATTTCTGTTGGTAAAGCACTGCTTGATGTCGAACCCTTGATTTACGAGGTTACTATGCAATATACTTCATATAACAAGAATTGTTCCTTGGTATGTGGTTTCACTGTGAAAAGTGCTTGGAAGAGATGGCACATATTCAATACACAGTTTTTTTTAAGTGGTTCTCCCATTAGTGACAGAAGTTCACTTTGAGCTCTCTTGGTCTTGCAGATCAAGCCAAGTCTGTTGGCTTCTGCTCTAATTAACACACAAAGAGCTTCACTACCAATATTATAGGTTCAAAAGCAGCATGTGAACCAAAAGGGGATCCAGCTTGATTTATATGTCAAGGGTTTGCTTGCAAGGCTGCTCATGATTCTATTTTAAAATGCAAAGCAACCCATACTTGGCCCCAACTCTCTTGATATTCATAAACTAAAAATAAGTTCTACAAATCTTTGAGGGACTGGAAATACCAAACTTTTAAAGCTGTCTTTTAAGTAGAGCCATCTTTTGAGAGAAATTGGATGTTTTAATATACAGTGTAGCGCTTTTATTGAAAATTAAATTACCTATCTAGTTGGGTCTGTTCTTAGAAATTAATTTATAGCATTGCTGCCTTTTGCCTTGAGACAACTTGATCTGGCAAGTGTATACACTGGAAAACTGTATCACTGCAACAACAAAAAAATAATTATTAACTTTAGGCTTTATCTAGTTAAGATCAAGCTCTCAATTGAGTTCTCTCTTAGTGCATTGACAGCTGAAGATTTATGTCTTCCAGGTATGTTCCTGTTGCAGAATTGACAGAAGTGACCTCTCTAAAGAATGGCTTTGTTATGGATTTTGCTCTGTTTACATTATTGCCATAAGGGTTGTGGTGAAGTACAGTATGTTAAAGCTTTAGGCTTTATCTAGTTAAGATCAAGCTCTCAATTGAGTTCTCTCTTAGTGCATTGACAGCTGAAGATTTATGTCTTCCAGGTATGTTCCTGTTGCAGAATTGACAGAAGTGACCTCTCTAAAGAATGGCTTTGTTATGGATTTTGCTCTGTTTACATTATTGCCATAAGGGTTGTGGTGAAGTACAGTATGTTAAAGCTAATATATCACCTCAGTGGTCTT